GCCTGTAGCTGTCTCTGCAAAGTTCAAAAACCACTGTCCGAAATTAACATAAACGCAAGCTGCCTAGATTGCCTCTTGCCTACCTCAGCAATCAGTAAGTCCATGTCATTCTTGAGAAATATTGCAATCTGTTCTTCAAACCGTTTCTGTATACGCTCCTTCCCAGCTCCCTGCGCGTAAAGTTTTGCTGTTTGGCAGATGGAGCCTGCGGAGAACACCCCTCCCTCTTGAGCCACGCCCTTCGCCAGATCGCATGCGGCCTGATTTATTTCATCGTTCTGTTGAAGAGAGCAACAAAAAGCACCTGTAATAAGCTTTCGATTACTTTTAAAATAGCGAATTCCTCGTTGTCAAACTGTCATTGCTGTAGAGCAACCAGGATTCACTTCGAGTCCATAGGAGGCATTTTTCTTATAATAACCGAAATCGTACGAAACCAAAATAATGACATACAACTATTATCAGAGTGATCAGCACAAACGAAAACTCGAAGCAAATTCATGCAACCTGCGTGAAAAAGAGCAGGTCGGTTCTGAAAGGACCGCTTGATTTGATTCTGCCGCTGATTGGATGAAACAGCACTTTTTCTCCGACGGGTTGAAGTAAGTTTCATTGATCCATTTTAAATGGCGAAGATTTCCGTAAAGAAATTGCCAAGAAAAAACATCAAAACAACAACACAATTTCACATGCATTTTTGAATAACATTAAGCAGCAAAAACCAGCAGAGCTTGTTAAAAGTCTTATATGGCCACTTTTTACATTGTGCAACAAATACCTTCTCGTCAATGATTTCATCGTCCATGGAAAATGTAAAAGCCTGAATGATATCTGCGCCTGCTCGAAGAAACTCGCGATGAACCTGGCGGACTGAAATGAACAATTTCTAATGAACCAATTCCACAGTCATCACATCTAGCCATTCACAATGCAACTTATCATTGTAGCGAGCCGATGCTCGGACATTTTCCCTTGGACATTATCTGTTCCTCGAAGCTCACAATTTCCTCGAGCCTCGCTCTCGGAAAACTGTGAGCTTCAAGGGCTTCGAGGAACAGATAATGTCCGCGGACAAATATCCGAGCATATTTTCGCGACAAATGGAGGCTATTGTCTTTATATTTCTACCTTAGTGCGTGATTGATGTATGACGTGGCGGGCCTGACGTGGCGTGACGTTGTGACGTGAATTACTTACGCAGTAAGGATGTTTATTATATGGCTAGCTCCGTGAGCGGGCAAGATGAATCAAATCCTGCGCTGTGATTGGCTACCCCAGCGGGCAAGATGGAGCTATCTTGCCCGCTCGGGACTACCCGCCGTGTCCCGCAAGAAAAGATTCCCCTAAAGCCATATAATAAATCCTTTCTCGACCAAGCTTGTTCGGTCAAGATGGCTGGATATTGGCCTCGTTCTTTTTGTGCGAGTTTATGGACCGAGAGGGAGTCGAGGTCCATAAACACGCAAAAACAGAACTTGACCAATATCCTGCCATCTTGACCTCACACTTGGTCAATAACCCATACGTACTAACAGTGGGCGCGAACCAACCTCGTTCCCAGGGGGAGAGGACCCTGGGAACGAGGTTGAGCGCGAACTTCCTTAACTCATACCTCTCTGTCACGCAACGCTACGCTCTCGGAAGAGAAACCCTATCCTGCGTGACAGAGAAAGGACTGGACTAACCTGCCTCTGGGCTCTCCACCGTGCACTCCGGAGACCAAGGTCCTGCTTTTACATAACCACGCTTCTCCAAACAGAAAGTCATCCCTCCATCACCGACTAGGACATCACCCGCTTTTAGACGGTCTAGAACAGAATCCTTCTACGCAAAAATCAAAACAAAACAGCAAAAAGATGATGTTCGAAAAGGAAAAGGGTTGCTAGCTTGATGATATCAATTCAGCGCATAAACAATTATGAAACACCTGAGTTCAGTGCGGAGTCTCTCTGAACAAATTGTACTAAACAGCATGCCCGTGTGTGTACATTTTTTCGACGATTGATCGAGTGCCGGAAACTGCGGACAGAGTAGTCTCCTTGAGTTGTCAGTGGGTTGTCACACATGTTCAGGGGATACAAGTATTGCGTGACCCGAGATGGTAACAGCTACCTCTCCGTGTCTTTTGGTCACGTGGACCGCAACGAAACTGGGGTTGGGGATATTTAGAAGTTTCCGAGAAATTTCGAAATTATTAAGATATTTAGAAAATTTAGGGGTAGTTAGAAATATTCATAGCTTTTTTGGATTTAGCCCTGTGTTTTCCTCGCTATTTTTTTGAAACAATACAGTTCAGCGATTTCCTGATCGAAAAATGTATTGTATAACAGCAACGATTTTCCAAAATGGCGGAGGCTAGTAACATCGATGCGCTTGAATCTTCTTCCTCAACCTCCAACTACTGCAAGAAAATTTTGACCTGAGGGATTCAAAATCGATTTATTTTAAAAACAAAAAAATGAAATATTTAGAGGTATTTTTTGCGAGATATTTAGAGAAATTTTTGTGATATTTAGAATTTTTTTTGGAAATTTCCGGAAAGATGTTTTGGCGATTTTACGTGATATTTGTGGAAAGCCCTAGGACGTTAAGAATTGCTACCGCGCGTCATATTTTCAACTTTCTTCTCGGTGCTTGGAAATGTGATCAACTGGTCTTTCATTTTTGATGCATTACTTCCTTATCCCCAAATGGGCGAAAGTATTAATTTTGTTAGCAAACTCTGATCTTTATANCACCAACTAGGACATCACCGGCTTTTAGACGGTCTAGAACAGAACCCTTCTACGCAAAAATCAAAACAAAGCAGCAAAAGGATGATGTTAGAAAAGGAAAGGGGTTGCTAGCTTGATGACATCAATTCTACCCATAAACACAAAAAGAATGCCCGTGTGTGTACATTTTTACGACGATTGATCAAGTGCCGGAAACTGCGGACAGAGTAGTCTCCCTGAGTTGTTAACGATTGTCACGCATGTTCAAGGGATACAAGTATTGCGTGACCCAAGATGTTAACAGCTACCTCTCCGTGTCTTTTGGTCATGTGGTCCGCAACGACACAGGAGTTGGGGATAATTAGAAGTTTCCGAAATATTTCGAAATTAAGAAATTAAAAAATTTAGGGATATTTAGAAATATTCATAGCTGTTTTGGACTTAGCCCTGTGTTTTCCTGGCTATTTTCTTGAAACAATACAGTTCAGCGATTTCCTAATCGAAAAATGTATTCCATAACAGCAACGATTTTCCAAAATGGCGGAGGCTAGTAACATCGATGCGCCTGAATCTTCCTCAACCTCCAACTACTGCAAGAAAATTTTGAACTTAGGGGTTTCAAAATCGATTTATTTTAAAAACAAAAAAATGAAATATTTAGAGGTTTTTTGCGAGATATTTAGAGAAATTTTTGTGATATTTAGAATTTTTTGGAAATTTCCGGAAAGATGTTTTGGGATTTTACGTGATATTTGTGGAAAGTCCTAGGACGTTAAGAATGACTACGCGTAGTATTTTCAACTTTCTTCTCGGTGCTTGGAAATGTGATCAACCGGTCTTTCATTTTTGATGCATTACTTCCTTATTCCCAAATGGGCGAAAGTATTAATTTTGTTAGCAAACTCTGATCTTTATATGCCACTCTCACGTTCGACCTTTCAGGGGATGGGATCGATATCCACTAATCACATGTTCAGTGCTGACCTCTGACCTCTACAAATGTAACAGCAGTTAAAACACCAATCAGAAAACGGGAATTTCGATCCTGTGAAACTTGATATGTTCCAACTTTTTCGTATAAATAGCAATGCACTTCTTACATTCAACGCAGACATTAGAGATCTTTAGGTTATTCTAAAGTTTTTGCGGACTAGAATCACCTCGATTTCGACTGAGGACTCTTTGAAATACCTCGTTGGGCTTTGAAATTTCTGAATAAGATTTTTTTGTCGAAGCTGGTTGAACTATGGCGCCCAAAACCGCTGGGAAAAAAGGAGAAAAGAAGAGGGAGACTGTCAAGGAAAAACCGACTACTGACGATAATAAAAAGAAAAAGAAGATAAAGAGAAAGCAAAGTTATGGAGTCTTCATTTACAGAGTGCTGAAGCAGGTTCATCCTGACACTCGAATCTCCAGCAAAGCCATGGGCATCATGAACTCGTTCGTCAACGACATCTTCGAACGTGTTGCGAGCGAAGCTTCTCGTTTGACGAAATACGCCAAGAAGTCGACCATCGGTTCCCGTGAGATCCAGACCGCTGTCAGATTGCTTCTGCCCGGTGAACTGGCCAAGCACGCTATCAGTGAATAGAATCACCTCGAATTCGACTAAGGCCTCTTTGAAATACCTCGTTGGGCTTTGAAATTTCTGAATAAGATTTTTTTGTCGAAGCTGGTTGAGCTATGGCGCCCAAAACAGCTGGGAAAAAAGGAGAAGAGAAGAGGGAGACTGTCAAGGAAAAACCGACTACTGACGATAATGAAAAGAAAAAGAAGATAAAGAGAAAGCAAAGTTATGGAGTCTTCATTTACAGAGTGCTGAAGCAAGTTCATCCTGACTCTCGAATCTCCAGCAAAGCCATGGGCATCATGAACTCGTTCGTCAACGACATCTTCGAACGTGTTGCGAGCGAAGCTTCTCGTTTGACGAAATACGCCAAGAAGTCGACCATCGGTTCCCGTGAGATCCAGACCGCTGTCAGATTGCTTCTGCCCGGTGAACTGGCCAAGCACGCTATCAGTGAAGGAACCAAGGCCGTGACCAAGTACACCAATAGCAAGTGAAGCGATCTTCGCGTAATTGAAACAAACGGCTCTTTTAGGAGCCACCAGTTCTGCCTTAAAGTCTCTGATCAGCTGAGGTTTTTGTTAACCAAGGGGTTTAATACCACGGGTTAAGAAATCGACAGGGAAAAAATTTCTTCAACGTCAGAATTTATTTCGAGTCGGAAAATTCAGTTGTTTGTGCATGGTGAATTGAAACACGTTTGAGATAGCTTTGTCCAGGCGTTCGGTTAGTTATAGAACAGCGTCACAAAATAGGAGAAAAATAGCGGAAGACCAAGGAGCGAAAGAAGCTTTCCCACGTTGCACCCCCAACCATTTCTTATCGCGAGTCGAAGTCACGCAATACCTCTCGGAGCGTTGTGTGACTTCGACAGTTTCGAGAAACAAAACAAGCGCGCGTGAATCCCGCCTCGCGCTCTTAGGACGCAAACCCCACAAACAACCTAACACTTTGTCGTAATTTACCTTCCTATCCGTCGTAAATGAGGCCCTGTGGAGAGAAGAAAGTAAACAGGTTATAATTAAACTTCTATGCGGGAAAATTGAAAGTTTTGGCCTTTGCATTACCAGAGCTCCACAGGGTAGGGAGTTCCAACTTCAGAGCTAAAACAGTAAGCACGAGCAGTAGGGTGATTTTTCAGAAATTCAAACTCCAAGGTTTGGGCCCGAAAGTAAAATGATAATTTTTACAAGTGGACCGCTGCAGGGTTTCACTTTCAGGTAAATTTTGCATACAGTCGGCAAGGAGGCGGAGATGATTGACGTCNCAAGCACGCTATCAGTGAAGGAACCAAGGCCGTGACCAAGTACACCAATAGCAAGTGAAGCCATCTTCGTGTCATTGAAACAAACGGCTCTTTTAGGAGCCACCAATCTGTCTTAAAGTCTCTGATCAACTGAGGTTTTTATTAACCAGGGGTTTAATACCACAGGTTAAGAAATCGACAGGGAAAAAATTTCTACGACGTCAGAATTATATTTTGAGTCAAGAAAATTGACATTTTGAAGAGAAGTCAAGGAAAATGTTACCAATTGTTTAAAGCTCAGTAGTATGTGCATGGTGACTTGAAACACGTTCGAGATAGCTTTGTCCAGGCGTTCGGTTAGTTGTAGAACAGCGCTAAAAAATAGCGGAGGAACAAGGAGCGAAAGAAGCTTTCCAGCGCTGCACACCTCCAACCTTTCTTATCGCTCCTCGCTGGTCGAAGTCACGCAATACCTCTCGGAGTGTTGTGTGACTTCGACAGTTTTGAGAAAGAAAACAAGCGCGCGTCAATCCCGCCTCGCGATCTTAGGAAGCAAACCCCACAAACTATCTTGCACGTTGTCTTAATTTACCTTCCTATCCGTCGTAAACGAGGCTCTGTGGAGACAAGGAAGTAAACAGGTTATAATTAAACTTCTATGCGGGAGAACTGAAAGTTTTGGCCTTTGCATTACCAAAGCTCCACAGGGAAGGGAGTTCCAACTTCAGAGCGAAAACAGTAGGCTCAAGGTCTAAGGTGATTTTTATAAATTCAAACTCCCAGGGTTTGCGCCCTGTCCACACAACGCCGGGGGAATTTAAAAACGGGGATTTCACTCTGAAAGTGCATCAAATGTTTTCCGCCCACATTACGCCGGAGGAATTTAAAAATGCAACAGTCACCGGTCATTTTGAATTTGTGTTTGAGGAAAACTCGGCCAGGTAAATCACATGATTAT